CCTCCCCCCTCCCCCTTCCCAAAATTCCCCCGAATTCCCCCAAATTCCCGGGATCGGGATCGCGAGCCCCGCGGCGGCGCCGATATCGCGGCGTTATCCCGGAATTCCCGCTATCCCAAAATTCCCGCTATCCCAAAATTCCCGCTATCCCAAAATTCCCGTTATTCCCGTTGCTCTCCCGTTATCCCTGTTGTTATTCCCGGTGTTATTCCCGCTATTCCCGTTATTCCCATTATCCCAGTTTCCCATTATCCCAGTTTCCCATTATCCCAGTTTCCCGCTATTCCCGTTATTCCCGTCGCTCTCTCGTTATTCCCGTTATCCCAGTTTCCTGTTATCCCGTTATTCCCGCTGTTATTCCCGTTATTATTCCCGCTGTTATTCCCGCCGTTCCCGTTGCTCTCCCGTTATTCCCGTTGTTATTCCCGTTGTTATTCCTGTTATTCCCGTCGCTCTCTCATTATCCCAGTTTCCTGTTATTCCCGTTATTATTCCCGCTGTTATTCCCGTTATTCCCGCTGTTATTCCCGCTGTTATTCCCGTTATTCCCGCTGTTATTCCCGCTGTTATTCCCGTTATTCCCGCTGTTATTCCCGCTGTTATTCCCGTTATTCCCGCTGTTATTCCCGCTGTTATTCCCGTTATTCCCGCTGTTATTCCCGCTGTTATTCCCGTTATTCCCGCTGTTATTCCCGCTGTTATTCCCGTTATTCCCGCTGTTATTCCCGCTGTTATTCCCGTTATTCCCGCTGTTATTCCCGCTGTTATTCCCGTTATTCCCGCTGTTATTCCCGCTGTTATTCCCGTTATTCCCGCTGTTATTCCCGCTGTTATTCCCGTTATTCCCGCTGTTATTCCCGCTGTTATTCCCGTTATTCCCGCTGTTATTCCCGCTGTTATTCCCGTTATTCCCGCTGTTATTCCCGCTGTTATTCCCGTTATTCCCGCTGTTATTCCCGCTGTTATTCCCGTTATTCCCGCTGTTATTCCCGCTGTTATTCCCGTTATTCCCGCTGTTATTCCCGCTGTTATTCCCGTTATTCCCGCTGTTATTCCCGCTGTTATTCCCGTTATTCCCGCTGTTATTCCCGCTGTTATTCCCGTTATTCCCGCTGTTATTCCCGCTGTTATTCCCGTTATTCCCGCTGTTATTCCCGCTGTTATTCCCGTTATTCCCGCTGTTATTCCCGCTGTTATTCCCGTTATTCCCGCTGTTATTCCCGCTGTTATTCCCGTTATTCCCGCTGTTATTCCCGTTATTCCCGTTGTTATTCCCGCTGTTATTCCCTGTCTGTCCGGCGCCGGAACCGCACGGTGGGATCAGGACCCCACGGACCGGGACAAAACCGGGATCAAACCGGGATCGGGATAAAACCGGGATCGGGATAAAACCGGAACCGGGATAAAACCGGGATTGGGATCAAACCGGGACCGGGATCAAATCAGGACCGGGATTGGGATAAAACCGGGATCAAACCGGGACCGGGATCAAACCGGGACCGGGATTGGGATAAAACCGGGACCGGGATCACACGGATTGGGATCCAAGGGATCCCTGCAGATCCCTGGGATAACCTGGGCTGGGATAAAATACGGACCGGGATCATCCCATGGATCGGGATCCTGTGGTCCGGGATAAAACCGGGACCGGAACAAAACCGGGATTGGGATAAAACCGGGATTGGGATAAAACCGGGACCGGGATAAAACCGGGACCGGAACAAAAACGGGATCGGGATAGAACCGGGACCGGAACAAAACCGGGATCGGGATAGAACCGGGACCGGAACAAAAACGGGATCGGGATAGAACCGGGACCGGAATAAAACCGGGACCGGGATAAAACCGGGACCGGAACGAAACCGGGATTTGGATCTCATGGATTTGGATCCCGTGGACCGGGGCGGCTGCAACGGAACGATGCGAACCGAGGCGGTCCCGCCCCGCCCGGGGGTCCCTCCCAGTTCCCCAAATCCCCTCCCAGTTCCCTCCCAGTTCCCCAAATCCCCTCCCAGTTCCCTCCCAGTTCCCTCCCAGTTCCCTCCCAGTCCCGCCCGGGGGCGAGGCCAAAACTCCCCGGTTCCATCCCGATCCCGGTCCCGGTCCCGATCCCGGTCCGATCCCGATCCCGGTTCGATCCGGTCCGGTCCGCTCCGGGGTGAGGAGGATGAAGAGGATCGCGATTTTCGGGGCCACCGGCAGAACCGGGCGGGTCACGCTGGGGCTGGCGCTGGAGCAGGGTACGGACACCCCAAAAACGGGCACGGGACCCCAAAAACGGGATCGGGACCCCGAAAACGGGATCGGGACCCCAAAAACGGGATCGGGGACCCCAAAAACGGGCACGGACACCCCAAAAACGGGATCGGGACCCCAAAAACGGGATCGGAGAGACCCCGAAATTTGTTTTGGGGTCCTTCGGAAAGGGGAGATTCCAGGAGTTTTGGGGTCTCTGGGAATTGGGGCGGTTTTGGGGGCATTGGGGCGGTTTTGGGGCAGTTTTGGGGGGATTTTGGCGGTTTTGGGGGGAATTGGGGCAGTTTTTGGGGCATTGGGGCGGTTTTTGGGGGGGGATTTTGGCGGTTTTGGGGGGATTTTGGCGGTTTTGGGGTCCCGGGGAGGGGGACAGGGGCTGGGGGGGCTGATAAGGTTTATCAGGGGGAGCA